AAACATTTATTCATCTACAGCAGTGGTTCCCACACTTTTTCCGCTGCTTGTGCAGGGAAAGCCCCGGCGGGCCGGGCCGGTTTGTTTACCTGCTGCATCCGCAGGTTCGGCCGATCACAGCTCCCAGTGGCTGCGGTTCGTTGCTCCAGGCCAATGGGAGCTGCTGGAAGCAGTGCGCGTCCACAGGTTCGGCCGATCGTGGTTCTCAGTGGCTCCGGTTCGCTGCTCCAGGCGGCGCAGGCCGAGGGATGTACTGGCCGCCGCTTCCAGCAGCTCCCATTGGCCTGGAGCAGCGAACTGCGGCCACTGGGAGCTGCGATTGGCTGAACCTGCAGACGCGGCAGGTAAACAAATCGGCCCGGCCCGTCAGGGGCTTTCCCTGCACAAGCGGCGGAACAACTTTGGGAACCACTGATCTACAACATAAGCAAATAAAGTCTGCAGAGAAAGATCTGGCCAGCTTCTGTAACAGGGATTTTTACTGTGCTTCCCTCCCTCTCTGAATGAATAAAATGTTTAAAAATAAAACCTAGTTAAGAACAATGGCAAATAGAATGCCAATGCCCTAAAGCTTTCATGGCAGCTGAAAATGATAGTTGGTTAGAGGAGAAAGAATCAATGAGGGGGAAATGTTTGGGGGTTGATGGAAAGAGACACAAAAAGGGGAAAAGGACTTCAGGATCAGAAATTAAGAATTAAGATATTGAAGAAACAAGTTGTGATGAAGTGGGAATTTTCTGTAATGTTTTTATGACGCTGAGGCATGCCTCAGTGTCCCTCTGAGTGAGGCATTGGTAGTCGGTGGGTGCAAAAGGGTTAACAAAGCTCCTGGAACAGCACAAGAGACAGAAGGTATGAGTGTGCCACTTTGCTGTCTGGGAGGAATGAATATAGTCCTTAAAGAACTGGCTCAAACTGATCCAAATCAACAGAGGGCCCACAAAACAAAGAGATGCCCCAATCACTGAACAATCAACACTTAACAGGAGGAAACCCTGGCAGGCAGGAACTGAGCTGGAGAATAAGGTGTCAGCTGACTGGAAAAACAGGAGCCTAGACTGGGGAGACAAAAGGGGAACAGAGGGAGAGAGCCAGGGGACTCCATCCTAGCTTGGCTGGCTCATCATGGCACTGGTTTGACCAGAGTGAACTATATGGTTTAACTTCATTTCTCTGGGCTAACCTAAGGACTTCCAGATTCTGTAGCCAGATGACCAATAAATGGTTACTTGGCATTGGAAAGGCTTCCTGTGTCTCTGTAAATACTCCCTGAGAGCACTGGGCCCTGAAGTGGCACAGTACAGGCCTCCCACAAGTCTGGTTGGGTGGATTCCCTGCAGGGAGCCAGAGAGAAAGGCAGGAATCACTGGTGCCGAAGGCCTAGTCTTGAAGACCATGGGCCTGCCCCTATGGAACTGTGTGGGTCCTTGGGGCCCACTACACTAACGGGGTCGCTCCCAGGAGACGGAGGCATAGACCAGACCCAATGACTTTGTGACAGGAGTACACCTCAGAAAGGAAAGGAAACTAAAACGCCAATCCTGCAATGAGACCTGCATGAGTACAGGAGTCAATATGCATGGATGTGACTACAATATCAGGGCCCAAGGCCTGGTTTACATTAGGGCTGTCGATTAATCGCAGTTAACTCATATGATTAACTCAAAAAAATTAATCACAATTAAAAAAATTAACCACGATTAATCGAACTCTTAATAGAATACAAACTGAAATTTATTAAATATTTTGATGCTTTTCTACATTTTCAGATATATCTATTTCAGTTACAACACAGAATAAAAAGTGTACAATCCTCACTTTATATTAGTTTTTATTACAAATATTTGAATTGTAAAAATTATGTAAAAATAGTATTTCAATTCACCTCACACAAGTACTGAAGCGCAATCTCTTTATCATGAAAGAGCAACTTACAAATGTATTTTTTTGTTACGTAACTGCACTCAAAAACAATGTAAAATTTTAAAGCCTACAAGTCCACTCAGTCCTACTTTTTGTTCAGCCAATTGCTCAGACAAACAAGGTTGTTAACATTTGCAGAAGATAATACTGCCTGCTTCTTGTTTACAATGTCACCTGAAAGTGAGAACAGGCATTTGCATGGCACTTTTGTAGCTGGTGTCACAAAATATTTATGTGCCAGATGCGCTAAAGATTCATATGCCTCTTCATGCTTTGGCTATCGTTCTAGAAGACATGCTTCCATGCTGATGATGCACATTAAAAAAAAAAAAAAGCATTAATAAAATTTGTGACTGAACTCCTTGGGGGAGAATTGTATGTCTCCTGCTCTGTTTTATGGACATTCTACCATATTTTGCATATTATAGCTGTCTTGGATGATGACTCAGCACATGTTGTTCATTTTAAGAACACTTTCACTGCAAATTTGACAAAATGCAAAGAAGACTGATACCATTGTGAAGTTTCTAAAGATAGCTACAACACTCAACCCAAGGTTTAAGAATCTGAAATGCCTTCCCAAACCTGAGAGGGATGAGGTGTGGAACATGTTTTCAGAAGTCTTAAAAGAGCAACATTCTGATGCAGAAACTACAGAACTCAAACCACCAAAAAAGAAAATCAACCTTCTGCTGGTGGCATCTGACTAAGATGATGAAAATGAACATCTGTTGGTCCACACTGCTTTGGATCGTTATTGAGCAGAACGCATGTCCTCTGGAATGGTGGTTGAAGCATCAAGGGACATGTGAATCTTTCGCGTATCTGGCATGTAAATACCTTGCGATGCCAGCTACAACAGTGCCGTGCAAACGCCTGTTCTCACTTTCAGGTGACATTGTAAACAAGAAGCAGGCAGCATTATCTTCTGCAAAAGTAAACAAATTTGTTTGTCTGAGCAATTGGCTGAATAAGCAGTAGGACTGAGTGGACTTGTAAGCTGTAAAGTTTTACATTGTTTTATTTTGAATGCAGGTTTTTTTGTACATAATTCTACATTTGTAAGTTCAACTTGCGTGATAAAGAAATTACACTACAGTACTTCTATTAGGTGAATTGAAAAATACTATTTCTTTTGTTTTTACAGTGCAAATATTTTTAATAAAAATAAATATAAAGTGAGCACTGTACAGTTTGTATTCTGTGTTGTAATTGAAATAAATATATTTGAAAATGTAGAAAACATCAAAACTATTTAAATAAGTGGTATTCTATTATTGTTTAATCACACGATTGTGATTAATATTTTTAATTGCTTGACAGCCCTAGTTTACATATAAAGTCTCAACAGTTTCACTAAAGCTCTGAAGTTAAACCAATTTAATTAAAGCCACTTTGTGTGTAGACACTCTCATATTAATTTAACTTACACAAAATAAAATAGGAGGGAAGGTACAGTATTTAAGAAGTCGGGGGAGAACAATTTTACAAAACAATGGATGAGGATGGGGTGGGGGCAGCAGGAGAGGAAAAGGAAAAAGCCTCCTGAAAGAGAGAAAAGGCGGTTTTATAGAAGTGTATTTAGAGCTGGTGAAAGGTGCTGGTCTGACAGCCCTCAAGACTATCAGTCTCCACTTCTCTAGCATGGGCAGCAGCACCAGCGTGCCCATGCCCTAGCATATAGGGACCCTGACCCGTTCTGGGAGGGTGGGGGGTGGAATCTCAGTGCTAAGTCAGTCCTTAGCCCTGCTGCTTGGACCCCCACCCGCTTACTATGCTTCTGTGCAAATGGGGCTAGTCCCCCAAAACCCAACACATTCCTCCTCTGCCACTGGTACCTCGCCAACCCAGACGGGATCCCGTGTCTCCCTGGACTGGAGATGCCCAAAGGACGAACTGGGATTTTCTTTTCTGGGACCCACCCTCCCCAGGGCTCAGTGTGGGGGGCATCAGGCTCCTCCACTCGCCAGGACAGTGTCTGCGACCTAACCGTCCCCTGGTCGCCCCCCCCCCTGCACCTCACAACGGGTCTCCCCCAGACAGTGACAGGCAGCTCCCTAGGACCCTGTCACCCCACACCTTGCCAGGCTGTGACCTGGGTCCCCCTCCAGGACCCCAGGGATGGGGGGGCAGCCCTGGGGGTGGCTACTTCCCCCAAAGGGCGGGGGGCCTTGAAGGGGTCATCCCCTCCCCCAAAAGGAGGGGGCATTAGTGGGATCATCCCCTCCCCCAACACTCCCTCAGGGGGTTGGGGGGGGGACAGCCCTAGGGCCGGCTACTTCCCCCAAAGGGGGAGGCGTTAGTGGGGTCGTCCCCTCCCCCAAAAGGGGGGGCAGTTTGGGATCGACCCCTCCCCCAACACTCCCTCTGTGGGGTGGGGTGACAGTCCTGGGGCCGGCTACTTCCCCCAAAGGGGGAGGTGTTAGTGGGGTCGACCCCTCCCCAAAAAGGGGGGGCAGTTTGGGGTCGGCCCGTCCCCCAACACTCCCTCAGGGAGCGGGGGGGGGGGGCAGCCTGGGGTCGCTCCCCAGAGGACGCAGCCCCCGGGGTCGGGGCCCAGCAGGACGCAGCCCGGGTCCCCCGTTCGCGGGCCGGGCCGGGCCGGTCTCAGCCCCGCTCCCGCCCGGGGCCGGGGCCGCACCTGGATGTGGCGGCAGGCGGAGGCGGCCTGTCTCTGCTCCTCCAGCCCCTGCTCCAGCAGCACCAGCCCCAGCCCGAAGGCCAGGCTCAGCCCCCGGGCCCCCCGCGGGCCCCGCAGCAGCAGCTGCCGCCGGAGCCGCCCCGCCAGCCCGGACACGGACTCGCGGAGGAAGCGGTAGCGGGCGGGCGGCGGCGGTGGCAGCAGCCCCCGGGCCGCCGGGGCGGGCGGCAACCGGGGCGGCCCCCAGCGCAGGAGCAGCCCCCGGCCCAGCTGCAGCCCGCGGCCCAGAGCCTGTCGCAGCGCCATGGCCCCGCTCGGCAGCGCCCGCCTCGGCCCAGGCCCGGCCCGGCCCCTGGTTACCCGGGGACCCGCCCGCTGTGACGCGCCCGGCCTGGGGTATGTGTGTGTGTGTGTGTGTCAGTCACGGCAGACGTGGAGTGTGTTGGGGGGTGGGGTCACTACGGGTAGGACCAGGCATAGGGTGCTGGTGTGTGTGTCACACTGGGTACGGATTGTGTGTGTTGGGCGTGGTGTGTGTGTGTGTGTGTCACTCTGCGTACGGGTTGTGTATGCTGGGCGTGGTGTGTGTGTGTTGCTCTGCGTACGGGTTGTGTATGCTGGGCGTGGTGTGTGTGTATGTCACTGCGTACAGGTTGTGTATGCTGGGCGTGGTGTGTGTGTATGTCACTGCGTACGGGTTGTGTGTGTTGGGCGTGGTGTGTGTGTGTGTCACTCTGGGTACGGGTCGTGTATGCTGGGCGTGGTGTGTGTGTGTCACTCTGCGTACGGGTTGTGTGTGCTGGGTGTGGGGTGTGTGTGTGTCACTCTGCGTACGGGTTGTGTGTGCTGGGTGTGGGGTGTGTGTGTGTCACTCTGCGTACGGGTTGTGTGTGCTGGGCGTGGTGTGTGTGTCATTCTAAGTACGGGTTGTGTGCTGCACCTGGTATGTGTGTCGCTCTGAGTACCGGCTGGGTGCCGGGCATAGTGTGTGTGTGTTACTCTGAGTGTGGGTTGTGTGTGTCAGCCCTTTTGCTGTGTGTCAGTCTGGGCTTTGGGTGTGTGCTCTGCATCAGGGTGGATAAAAATCAATGATTTTTTTTATTTAAATCAGATTTTTTTGATAAAATGCTTTTTGAGGAAAAAACCTATCTAAAGATAGTTTTAACTAAGCTACATTATAGCTCAAAGATATCTCATCATAGAATAGGGATTATAAATTCTAATTCTATAGTATGAGACAATATATTCATGTAATGTTTAAGAAAAGTTTTATAAATGAGTTCTAATAGTACATGGATTAGGGACCCAATTTTATGGGGTTCCACAGGCTTCTGTATAGATTATTTAGGTTAATCTTTCTATGGGACTCAGTGCTCAGTTTAGAAGATACCATCAGAGATGCTTAGTTTTGCAGTTCTCAAACTGTGGATTTGTGTCTCCAAAGGTAACATGCTTGTTAACAGCAAAAATGTTTTAAAATAAATAATATATAGATGTGAGAAATAACAGACCTCAACCCTATTGTCCCTCTGCAAATTTGTGTACACAGAATCAATCCCTTACCTCTCTCTAAAAGTGCAAAGTTTCAAAAAGTTCAATGAATAGAAGATTGTTGGGGACGGAATAGATCTGGACAAGGAGAAGAAGAAGTCTGGAGATAAATGTGAGAAGTGAGGGACATATGCTTGTTTTGTTAAAATATTATATGTTTGCTGTTGAAGAAAAAAATCCAGAATACTTAATGTTGTTGTTTTAGTTAAATAAAACAATTTAAATGTCTGTCTGGTGATGTTCTGTTCCTAATACAGCATGGCAAGAAAATCCCTCAAATATTAATGATTAACCTGTTGAATTGGAGATAGTTCATCTCCCAATGACTTCATAAATATCTGCTTCAGTTACCTTTGGTAAATGAAATAACCAAACAATCATTCATTTTCTGATATAGCTGTAAAACTAATTTGAAAAGTTTTCAAAATAAATCACTGCTTAAAAATGTATAGAGTGTACCTTCTAAAAATGAAACCTACATCTATCTCTGAGTTGTGAAGAATATGTATTAAGGTTATAACAACCAACAAGAATGCACTTTTAGGTAGAAAACCAGGATTAAATCAAGTCTTCCTGACTAGTGATTTAAATCAATTTGATTTAAATCAAATCCACCCTGCTCTGCATGCTGTGTATGTTACTGTGAGTACAGGTTGTGTACTGTGTTACTCTGGGTAAAGTTGTGTATGCTACAGGCAGCTGTATGTTGTATTGTGTACTGGGCATGGTGTGTGTTGGCCTGGGTATTGAATGTGTACTCTGCATGCTCTGTGTTGTGCTTTTTGTGGATTGCAGACTCTGCTTGGTGTATGTTGCCCTGCGTATGGACTGTGTATGCTTCATGCTGCCATGTGTTACTCTGCATATTCTGTATTGCCCTGGGTATGGATCTCTTCATGAAGTATGGTGCCCTGGGTATAGATTGTGTACTCTGTATGCTGTCGTTGCACCAGGGATCACTGCTGTATACTCTCTTGTTGTGTAAAAAGAAAAGGAGGACTTGTGGCACCTTAGAGACTAACCAATTTGTTTGAGCATGAAGCTTTCGTGAGCTACAGCTCACTTCATCGGATGCAGTGTTACACTGAGGGTAATACTGAATGTGTACTCTGTTATGTGTTACTCAGTGTTGTGTGTTACCTGAGGTATGACTGCATATATAGCTTAAATGCTGTGTCGTTCTGTTTTACCGCTAAACTTCTAGGAACTAAAACCACACATGAACCACACGAACCACAGTAAAACCACACACTTTTGTGTGGCTCTGTTCTGTAATAAAACATCAGTTTGATGGAGTAGTGGAATTAGTGACCACATTTATTCTGTTTGGACATTTACAGTAACATATAAATAACCAACAGTGCTTCATGATTAGAAAAATTAACCCATTTTTGTTCACTTCAGATAATTTCATTGTGCCTAATGTAGCACAGTCATAACATCATATTACTCTTGAGACAGAACTTCTAGGGTATTGTCTGGTTCTCACCACTACGTTCCCTTTCCCATCCATTCTCACACACACACACACACACACACAAATAAAATCAAGAAAAATAAACTAAGGGTAACTAAGAGGAGGATGTTCACAAAGTGTTGAAAATTAAGTTACAATAAACAGCGTAATCTAAATTGCCCAGTTTACTATAGGCTGTTGCTTACTAATAACCTTCATAATAAAGCTTCATATATGAACAAGATAGTCTACTTTGGATTTATTAAACCTTTAGTTTCTCTTCTCTCTTATTTAGTTTTTCTTCTTATCTTTACAAATAACTAGTTTACATTACAGAATTCCTGGATTTGTATGATTTATTGATCTGTGCAATTTTGATCAACAGTAGTGATGGGCCAGAATTAAAACTCCGTGTTAAATTCTCCTCCATTGGAACTTTAGAGGTTTGCATAAAATGAGATCTGGATCCCAACCAGAACTCAATGAATCTTTAGTTTGGTTGTTCTCTAATCACTAGTAAAGAAGTGTACAGCATATAACTTGAGGTAGGAAGATGTGGGGGAGAAGGTGCCCCATTGTATTTGAGTAATATGCTTCAGAATAATGTGGACCCTCTAGTGTATTAGAACTTACATTCTGACCTTATATGAGACTCTTAGGCCAGTCTCAGTTAAACCAGTATAAATCTGGAGTAACTGCATTAATGAATAGTATTTAGCACTATAAAAGCATTTCTCACCCAAGTGTCTCAAATCACTTTGCAAAAAAGGTTAATGCATCATTATCCAGGTGAGGAAACTGAGAAACAGAGTGGTCACGTGACTAGCTCACATGGTTTCGATCAACGGGTGTTTTCCCATGCAAAATGTTTTGTTGACAAATTTCCAACCTGCTCTAACCATGACATCATACTGCCATGTCTGCTAAACCGAACTTGTGAACGTTTGGGATTGGCCGATTCACAGTGAGGCAGATCTGGTTCTTGCCACCCCTTCCCCAGGCCTAGTACAAATGGAAATTATTTGCACTGGAGTTCCCTGAGGATTAAAGAAGTTGAATAACATTCCCTAAGAGGCAGAGTTGGGAAGTATCTGAAATAAATCTTTGTCCTGCAGACAGAAAGCATATGATTGTCTAGAGGTTCTTTACTGCCATTGCAGATCTCTTCAGAACTTCTTCAGATCTTCTGGTCCAAATGACAGGGGCAGGAGCTCTTGAAGAGTCTTGACTATATAGGTCCCATCTGGCTTTGTCATGTAAATGTCCCAGTCTCTACTGAACTAGAAAAAGAGTCAGAGAACTGTCTGTGAATCACACTTGTGCAGAACTGTGAATTGTTCATTGGTATTTACCCAATAGTGAAAACTAGTTAAATAAACCATAAGAAGAAACAATATGTGTGTTTTAAAAAAATGTGGTATCTGTCAAAGTGGCTGGCCATTCTTTTTATGTTTCATTGTCCCATATGATGGTCCTGCACTTCAACCCAGAGGTGGCTGCATTTCACGGGTGGGTGAAGCAATTACTGATCTTTTTATTATATTATTTTTATAGTGCACACAGGCCCTGATCCTGTGATCAAATGTGTCTTGTGCCCAGGTAGATCCAAATGCAGGATCAATGCCAAAGCATGCCCAGCGCTTTACAGATATGCAATAACACAAAGTCACTGCCATGAAGAGCTTACTGTTGAAGGCCATGATCATGCAAATTATTCCTTATGGGTTGATCCCTGCACCTACGGGGAGTCCGCTTTGCACAGGCTCAGGAATCTACCCACCCAGAACTTCAGGAGCAGAAGCTAAAAATGCAGTCATAAAAAGAGTCACACTCCTATAGCTAGTCTTGCACAGAGTCATTTGCTAGAATATTTGCAGAAAGTGGGGGGTGAACACAGTTAAAGTAAAAAGAAAAGGAGTGCCTGTGGCACCTTAGAGACTAACCAATTTATTTGAGCATGAGCTTTCGTGAGCTACAGCTCACTTCATCAAAATGAGTATTCTGTTAACTTTTTTTTTACTGCAGCCGGCACCTGGCCCATTGCCCATTAGATTTTGCCATTGTTCGGCATGTTAACACTTGGCTATTTGGCTTGTGTTTGGTTTGTTTCACCATCTTCCTTTTTTCTTTTTGTTTATTCTTGCTGGGGTTTGTTTGTTTGCTTAATGCTTTTGTATTTTCCTAACATTAACTTTGCCTATTCAGACCCCTTTCTCTCCCTGTTCCTATCCTGAGCCTTCTGCCGTGTTTTACACCAAGAGCTCCTTAACCCTCCTTCCAGCTCCCTGCCTGAAGGTCACATCTGACCACTTGTCCCACTTTAGGCTCTTGGCAAGTTCTTAAAGCAACCTCTTCCTTGGTGCAAAGTTTGGAGGCCTTTATAATATAAGCACATTAATGAAACTCTGAGCAACCTTTTAAAGCCTCTACCAGTTGCTAGATTAGAGCCTGATACTTCATTTCTTGGAGAGCCAAAACTGGCTTAAACCTCCAAAGGGAATTTCAGATGCATAAAGTACACGGGATCAGGCCCTCAGGGAACTTTACCTTTGAAATAATGCTGCTTATCCATGTAGGGAATCTGCCATCAGTTAAACATTAGCCATTGAAGTCATGCTGAAAACATTAAAAGCAGCTTCATGAAGAAAATGAACTCTGTGGAGCTCCTAAGAGCCCTGTGTTTCAAAATACTATAGCATTCTACAATAATGGCCCTAAATGCTGCAGGCTGAATCTCGAGCTGACTTCTGCAGATGGACAGGGCCCAAATGCAATGGAAATGTTGCATCCTTGCTGCATTGGCAGACTATGTAACACAGGGAGCCCCCAGGCTGAACTCTGAACCCCTCCTGCATCTCTGCAGTTCACGTGGCCTCAACCAGAGGGGGGTGGAGGGAATGGATGCTTTGGTGACATAGCTAATAGATTTCTGCAATGCCCCAGACCCTGTGTTTGAGGGGAGCACCAGTCCTTATCTGATACTTCCCCCAGTATCCACAAGCTGAGTGCCTAGAAAACCCCAAAGTATATGCTGGGGCCAAGGATTCTTTGCCTCATCTCTGTCATGTTTCCGTGCATTTTTACCTGAACAGAGCCCTTGCACTCCAGCTTGGCTCCCTTTTCATGCTTTGGTCCTGGAATAATGCAGTTGTGAGCTGTAGGGTCAAATCTGGCTCTAGTGTAAGCTGCATTGAAGCCACACCTACTTACACCAGAGCTGAACTTTCCTTCTGTTTCTGCCCTTGAAAACACACTGTGGTCAGCACTCAAGGGATTAATATTGTTTCCAAACTTGGAAGCCCTTGTTTACTGACCCAAAAGTTTCCCTCTCCTTTTGTCATTCTCTACATTCCCAGTTTGGTGCTGTGGGGTGCAGGAAGTGGGACGCTCACAATTTTGCACATCTCAGAATGTTTCCTTACTCTGCAAACTTTTGAGCTATGTCCCCTGACATTTCAGAGTGAGCATTGTGGGGTCTGAAAGAAACAAATGTTCTCACCCAGGCAGGTGGGTGGGAATTAAAGCAGTTTAGTTTCAGCTGTTGAAAAAGAAAGCAAAAGTTGTTTACCTCTCTCATTACTTGTCTGCAGGCCCCACAGGGCACAATAAAGTCATCTTCAGTGTTGCTATCGAAGGAGAATAGAATGCAGAGGTCAGTCTAGCTCATGATGGAAAAACTGTCTACAGTTAATGCATCAGATAAATAATGTAGTTAATGCATCAAATAATAACAAACAGTCGTTAGTAAATAGCACTTTGATTGCTCTTTCTA